AATGTTCATAGCAGCACTCTCAACAATAGCCAAATTATGGAAAGAGCCTAAATGTCCATCAACTGATGAATGGATAAAGAAATTGTGGTTTATATACACAATGGAGTACTACATGGCAATGAGAAAGAATGAAATATGGCCTTTTGTAGCAACGTGGATGGAACTGGAGAGTGTGATGCTAAGTGAAATAAGCCATACAGAGAAAGACAGATACCATATGGTTTCACTCTTATGTGGATCCTGAGAAACTTAACAGGAACCCATGGGGGAGGGGAAGGGGGAAAAAAAAAAAGAGGTTAGAGTGGGAGACAGCCAAAGCATAAGAGACTCTTAAAAACTGAGAACAAACTGAGGGTTGATGGGAGGTGGGAGGGAGGAGAGGGTGGGTGATGGGTATTGAGGAGGGCACCTTTTGGGATGAGCACTGGGTGTTGTATGGAAACCAATTTGACAATAAATTTCATATATAAAAAAAAACAAACAAACAATTTTGTGTTAAGCAAGTTGTCTTATCTCACCTGCAAAGAAGTTCACAGTAAGGAGTCTGGTGTTGCCACTTGCTCTCTGTGACCCTGATTGGGAGTGCAAAGAAAATTTTTGTGCTTTGCTAGTTTTCTGCCAGAGTCTTAAATATGCCAATGCCCTCATGCTGTTTCTGCTGGGCCTTCAAAAGTAATTTTGTGGAAGTTTTGAAGACGAACAGCGTGTAATCAATAAGAATGTTCTCTATCCGCATTGATCCCACTTAAATAGCTCTCTCTATGAATTCTAGAAACTATTTGAGAAATAGCTTAAAATTAAATTTAAATTATTTAATCGTGAGAAGTAAATCCAGAAAAAGTAAAGATAATCCAAGGGAGCCGACTAGCACACACCATTCAGAAATTTTGTCTTTAAAATTATTTTTAATGTTTAATTATTTGAGAGAGAGAGATCAGGGGAGGGGCAGAGAGAGAGAGAGGGAGACACAGAATCTGAAGCAGGCTCCAGACTCTGAACTGTCAGCACAGAACCCGAGGCAGGGTTCGAACCCACGAACCGTGAGATTATGACCAAAGTTGGCCGCTTAACCAACTAAGTTACCCAAGCAACCCCAGAAATTTTCTTGTCTTAAAGATAAAAAAAAGAAATTTTCTTGTCTTTTGAGCAATAACCTGGAAGATAATCCATTAATCACTGAAGGAATTTTTTTTTTAATTTTTTTTTCAACGTTTATTTATTTTTGGGACAGAGAGAGACAGAGCATGAACGGGGGAGGGGCAGAGAGAGAGGGAGACACAGAATCGGAAACAGGCTCCAGGCTCTGAGCCATCAGCCCAGAGCCCAACGCGGGGCTCAAACTCCCGGACCGCAAGATCGTGACCTGGCTGAAGTCGGACACTTAACCGACTGCGCCACCCAGGCGCCCCTAGGAATTTTAATCTGGTAGTATGGACATCTTTAACAAAAATCACTGGAACGTATTTATTCTCCCTGGAAAACTGGTGTGTGTGTGTGTGTGTGTGTGTGTGTGTGCACGTGCATGCACAAACAAAAGAAACCCAACTTACCTTTAATTTTGTTTAAATAATGTTTAAGTAATATATTAAATAAATATACATAAATGTGAAATTACAATACTTTAAAAGGAGGCTTTAAAATGCTAAACATTAAATCTGTCTATAAGCAGACTAAAGCATTTTATTCCAGTAACTTTTCTGCGTACAGTTTATCTCACATAACACTTATGCTCCAGTTTCCTTGAAAGTAAAGAATATATGTTTAAAGCCAATGCATTATTGAATAATGCAGAAAGCTTAATAAGTTATTGGTTTTTAGGACTATTCATTAATAAGAAAGTTGAGGAGAAAGGAATAATTATAAATATTCTTTTAAAATATAAATTGATGACCTAACAAAGTTTTTCACTGTGTATTAAAATCTGTTTTATGTGGACCTTTTTTTTTTTCCAGGTATGGGTTTTTTTGTTATTTCCAAATTCACTGTGGTCATGAGAGAAGCTATTAAGTACTGAGAAAGTCAGATTCAGCTGTCTGCTTTAATGTGAATCACACCATGATTGTGGATCTTTGAAAAAGCATGGTAGGAACAATTTTTTATAGAATTACATAATATTAGACCCTTGTTGAAGTTAGCAAAGTTGACTTAATTACTAAAAAGAAAACAATAAACATTTATTTTTCTTTATAAACATCATAGAAACTTTGTAGAATACTTACATTTACAATGGATAATATGGTTATATTTGTAGCTATTAAAGTTATAAATTATTAAGCTTATGTGAATTTTAGAATCTCACATGTAGTTTGTGGATAATGTTTTTATTAAAACATATTGTGTTTTTCTATCTTTCTGTTCATTTTGAAAAGTAAGGAAAGATTATTTTAAGACCTGGTCCTGGCACTTTGCAAGTCTCTTCAGTTTATATGGTAGTCCTTCAAAGGCTTGTGAAAAATTCTTCTAAAAAGGTGAGACCCAGTGAGTTGAACTCTTCAGCTAAGATAAACTTTAGAAGCTAATACTTTTCTTTTCTTTTATTTAAAGAAAATTTTGTTTAACGTTTATTTATTATTGAGAGACAGAGAGACACAGAGTGTGAGCAGGGGAGGGGTAGAGAGAGGGGGAGACATAGAATCTGAAATAGGCTCCAGGCTCTGAGCTGTCAGCACAGAGCCTGACACGGGGCTTGAACTCACAAACTGCGAGATCATGATCTAAGCGGAAGTTGGTCGCTCAACCAACTGAGCCACCCAGGCGCCCCAGAAGCCAATACTGTTCTAAAGAGAAAAAAGCTTTTTTAAATATACAGAGCGACGCTTGCACTCTGTTTGAACATCCAATTGCAGGGAAAAGCATGGAGAATGACAATAATCACCTACCCTTTTTGTATACGATTCATATACAGAACTTGAACTGTCAAAGGATGGAAGGTCCATAAATGTAGCATGAATTTACGTATACAAATTAAGAAAAGGTTGACATGCAAAATGCACAAATGATCTTCTAAGAGTCCACTGTCTTTGAAAAACACTATTCTCAAGTTAATTTATCAATTTAACTTCATGTTGCCTAATTTTGTTTTCTATTAAAATTTAAGTGAGATGTCCTCATCTAAAAAACAAGTAATTTATACATCTTTTAAAAGAATATTTGTCATCAATATAGCCAGTGGTATGCTACAGTACCTTGTACCAGCTCATGAGAGCCAATTGTGCAGATATTTTCACAACTGTGTTCAGTGATATCACATTGGTAGATTGAAATCAAGTGTGGTGGGAATATTTACACCAAAGAAATAAAAAATTACTATAAATCACCCTTCTACCCTTCCCAGCCCCAGAAAGCTGGTTTCTGGGGCTATACCATTAAATATTAATATGTAATGAAATGAAATGAGAAATTTGCTTGGAGTCAGAATCCAACTTTCCAGTTAGGGAAACATTTTGGAGATTTTCTTCAGAGAATATTATAAAAGATTAACATGGTTCTCATAAAAATCCACTCTGCTTTATTAAAATATCATCAAAGTATAATGAAGTTCATCAGAAAGAATGAATAGGTATCTATTAACTATGAAAATACTACAAAAGTCCAATAATTAAAATAGTGTGTTACTGGTACAAGAATAGAAAACTGAATAGAACAAAATAAATACCCCAACAAAAGACCCTATATGTAAGAGCAAGAAAATGTTATCCAATATTTACTGTGAGAATAACTAGTTGGCACTTTGTAAATGAAAAAGAAAATCATTTGTGGGGCTCAGTCTGTTAAGTGTCTGACTTTGGCCCAGGTCATGATCTTGAGGTTTGTGAGTTCGAGCCCCACATCAGGCTCTCTGCTGAGGCTTCGGATTCTGTGTCTCCCTCCCTCTGCCCCTCCCCTGCTCACACTCTGTCTCTCTCAAAAATAAATAAACATTTAAAAAAAATTAAAAAAAAAAGAAAATCATTTGTGCCCTGTACCTCATACAGTTAAGTAAGTTTCAAAATAGAATTAAAAAATATAACTGTAGAGAAAGTAGAAGGAAATAGAATGTTTATCAACTGTTTCATCAAACCTCTACAGGTAGACAACTTTCTAAGTTTCTCTCTTCAGACTTCTGCTTCCAAAGCTGAACTCCGTTGCTTTCATTCTAATAATGTAAATAAGATAGATACACTAAAATATCATAGATTTTTTTTTTTTTTAATTCCATCAGGGGTGTCTGGGTGGCTCAGTCGGCTAAGCGTCCAACTTTGGCTCAGGTCATGATCTCACGGTCCGTGGGTTCGAGCCCTGCGTCGGGCTCTGTGCTGATAGTTCAGAGCCTGGAGCCTTCTTCAGATACTGCGTCTCCCTCTCTCTCTGTCCCTCCCCCACTCACGCTCTGTCTCTATCAAAAAATGAATGAATGTTAAATTTTTTTTTTTTAATTCCATCAGATTGCTGAGGCTGCAAAGAAACCTAATTGAACTAACTTCCAGAAAGTGGGGACCCCTCACTAGAAGAGGAAAGACAGCGGCCTCCTTCTGTAGCAGGATGGCGGGGCGGGGAGGCCAGGCAGCGGGGAGAAATTTTTTCAGCAACATGTGGGTGAGTGTGACCGATTAGATTTCTAAGCGTCCGACCACAAAGGCAACATCTACCACTGAGTCCCAGGAACCCATTCTAATTTCTTTACAAGTAATATCACTTAATTAGCACAGTAATGCTGTGTTACCACTACCTATATACAATTTTTCTTCCTGTTTTACAAAGAGAGTACCTGAGGTGGAGAGGTCATCCACCCAAACTTATGAGTGGGAACCAGGATTTATGTTCAGCCAGTGTGACCTCATAGCTCTCAGTCTTAGCTCTGGTGCTATTCTGCTTCCCAGTAAATATTTAGTCAAAGGTTATTCATCAGTATAGCCTGATGAAGTTATTTACTAACTGAATGAACCTAAATTATCAAGCGCCTTTCCCACTTTCTCTACAAGGAAGCAAATTCAATACATATAATTTGAAATTTAAGAGCATTGAAAAAATAGGACAACTAGTTTATTTTATAGAACCAGCTTTCTATGGATGCAGGTGCTGGGTTTTCTGCTCCAGAATTCTGATGTTTAAGATGGTGCATATTTGTTTTAGATTTAACGACTATTCTCTGTTCCAGTAGTATCCAAGAATTAATTTGCATGCCAATTTAAATTCTATCAATAATATGTGTAATTCTCCCTCTCCTCATTGTAGAGACCTACACCTTGTATCCAAAGGGGATGGTGCAGGTAAGTAGTGCTTTCTTTTCTGTGCAAATGTGTTAGCATACTTCCAAGGACCAACTCATACTGAAATGAAGTGACTAGATACTTGGCAGAAAAATGTGGACATTTGGGATTTTTATAAATTGCTTCCTCAATTTTCTCCACCCTTTAAAATATAGAATATATAGTGTGTCACCCACCACCCAAATATCTGAAAGTCTTACACTGTCCGAATAAAAACTATGTGAATATTTTGCCTGAATTGTTATAATCAACTTCCCAGACACCTATAGCAATAAAGTACTATAGAGTTAGCAATGGGCTTGTGAAGGATTATGAAGGGCTAAAACTTTTCCATATTTGAGGTGTTCCCCCAATTGTATTTCTGGGAGTACTTTTTGCTAGGGGTTTCCAAACAAAAGGAAGAAATGGTGCTGCCAGAAGAATCTCTGAGGGGGCAGGGACAGGCCCTTCCAGAGAAGTCTGCTGCCTGCCAGGAATCTCAGCCAACCTGTTTTAGGCAGTTTTTAGAAAGCATTGTAAAATAAGAAATGGACAGTGCAGTGATGAGAATCACTTTTACATCGCCCCCAAACCCCATTTCCTGAAATCCCCACCTCCTTGATAATATCTAACATTTAAATAGTGTTTTAATACTTTACAAAGACTGTCATATAACAGCCAAACCTTAATCTTGAAATCCATCCCCCACTTGCCATCACTGGTTTTCCCAAGGCTTTGATATTTCATTTATTCCCATTGTTGGTTCTCTTGTTTCCATCTTCTAGTCATTTTTCTTTGGCCTTCTGTTCTTCCTTTTGCAATTTTAATTATTGACAATGATTTTTGAGTCTTCCCTGAGCTCTGATGTCACACAGTTGGCACAGAGTACACAGTTAAATAATTCTTCAAAACTGAATCAATCTCTGATAGGGATGTCCACTTGGAAGTCACGGCATCATCTCAAAGCCTGACACCAACATGTTGTCTTGTAAAATATCTGGTGCGTCTGTTAACAATAGGGAGAACTAATATTTATTATGTGTCATGTATTTTCAATAAATTATTTACCTCTCACAACAATCCTAGGAAGTAGGTGAATGAAGAAACAGTCCCAAACAGGAACTGAGCAAGTTAAGGAATGGTGATCTGAACTCAGGTCATCTAACTCAAACCAGAGTCCCTTATATATCACATCATAAGTCCTCCTGCCTCTTATATGAAAAGTCACTTAACCCCTCTCAGTTCTGGTGTTTCCACCTGTCCAGTAGAGGCCTGATGATAAACACAGCCAAAGACAGGACCTGAATTGATAGGTAATTAAGGATGAGCAAAAAGGATTGCACACTCAGCAAAATCAAAGATAATAGACTTACAACTGAAAATACAAAGAAAGAGATTTTTCAAACTGAAGTCATGATTTATGTCATTTGTTTGAAGCAAATTCTGAAATAATACAAATATATTAACTTTTCCTGATTTTGTTTGGGATCTGTTTTCAGGACCATGTCTCATTCTATGTAAAAACATCAACAACAACAAAAAAAAAAAACAAAAACACTTGAACAAAGAGCCAACAAAGACAATATATTTCATTAAAAACTTTATTTTTAGAGCCCATCAATGGGCAAATCCCAAACAGTAGCAATACAGAGTATTTAAGAACATTTTAATATTTCTATCCATCTTTGTTTTCCTTTCCACAAACAAACACACTGGATTAAAGCAACAATACTCTTAACCCCAAATTCAATGCCTGAGTACTTTCAATATCTATTTTGAACACATAATAAAGCAGAGGCAGTTAATTTTATTTCCACTCGGAGCTTAGCAATTACTTTAGCTTCACATTATTCTATCACAAATTATAACCCAATGGCCTACCTAAGCAGCTAAAATCATAAAATTATTATAAGCCAAGTCAATGGTGTGTATAAAGTTAACAAAAAACAACAACTAGACGAGTATACATTTGTTTTGGGCCCTACAAGAAATATGCCAAAATAACAAGCTTTAGTAAAAGATGAGGTCCTTGGGCAGAGGAGAACGAGAAGTCATTATCATCAAAACTTGTGAGGAAAACTTATGTAAATCAGCCTATAATTTTAACCAAATGAAGGAAGAAAGGGGAATACATTATCAGGGTTGATGACAACTTGGGAAAAGACATATAGCATTCAATCACAAACTTGTTCACTACCTCAAGAGCTCAACATCAGGCTCTCCAGGCATTCTGTTATTCTCCCACTAAGTTTCTTCACGGGAACATAAACCTACATTTATGCTAACAACAGAGTATTATATGGCTATTTAATCTGATGGCAAACAACAGGAAAAAAATTCTTAGGGCCAGACTGACTTCAGCCCATCTCAGTACCCCTGAAAATAGGGGCAAAAAATTAATCATTAAGAAACAGTATTCAAAGAGTACTGTATTACCTAATGTGATTTATAAAACAAGCACAATTCTGTAATCGTCAATGGAAAAAGTCTTAATATTTGAAAATTAGGAATGTTTTGATGCTGATTTTTTACCAAAATGGTACTCCAAACAGTTAAGTTGGAACAAATCCCAAACTCACACTTACTTGCATCACCTCAGTTTAATAATCCAATAAATGACAAAAAAGACAAACAATGAAAACAGCATCATATAGCACAACAGCTTTGTCTGGCTCCCTCTAGATAAAATCTTCAGTTTTCCCATAGTTTTACCTAGAAATCCAGTTGTAGAATCAAACTGTGAATCCTATGAGCAGAAAAGGAAAACAAAATAGTTAGATTCTAATATTGTACATATGCACATTTAAGTAATTGAATATACTGTTCTTAGAATACATTTTTAATGAAATTTTTAGTGTTTAATCAATTCAGGAGCCTGTTTATAACTTGGGTAATCAAGCCTGATTACTCTGTGCAAAATAGAGTAATTCTCTCAATGAATAAAAAGCTCTTTCATCGAATAAACATTTCTTTCAGCATCAGAGTAATTCAAAATCCCAAACTATTTAGGTCTTTTTCCAATTGTGTGAATTAAGACACTAATAATAAAGGTAAGTAGTTTGTCTACTATCATACAGGTGTTTGATTTTCAGTTTTTGTTGGGGCATTGCTCTCAAAGGGCAAATGGTTGGTTGCTTTCAGTAATTCAGTACGATAATTCATCTAAAGTTTAATATGGTTAGCAGCTAAAAGTAAAGTACCTTTAAGATTCTTTAATTCAGATAGCTGACTTTGAAGTACAGCAGAGTTTATTAAAAGTTAAGAGAATATCATGTAAAGGTAGTAAAATGTGGTTAAGACTCCAAATATGGATGGGGAAAACTACCATATTAAAACATAGTTGGAAACTGGAAAAGTCCTAAAGATGAGAGGACTAGGTGTAGATTAGAAATACTGCACTTTCACAGAAATCTCAGTATCCTAAGATGTAAAGGCCCCAGCATAATGACAGCATTTGCACAGCTCGGGCTCTATGTACTTCAAGCACTTTAGATCTATAGCTCTTCACCAGGGTTATGTATCACAATCACCTGGGACACTTTTCTTTTTCCAAAATACATATATGTAGGTCCCTCCCCCTAAAATCTATTTAGGTTGAGAACTAGCATAAACACTTACAGAAAGTTCCCCAGTGATTTGAATGCACAACCTCCATAAGAACATTGCTTTCAACGACATATTCATTTCTGAGTAACACAATTTTAAAAGCAAGTGGAGAAACTAGGGAAGGTCTAGAGAAATTTGACATTCGAAATAAATATTAAAGAATGGAAAGAGGTTCTACAAAGAAAGGTATATGTTGCTGAGCTCCCTTAGACTGGAGAGATAAAAGGCTCTGGGATGTTACTATGTTCAAATCTTATTGATTTGTTCAGAAGTGATCCTTAGGAGATCAAATAGAAATAGGCTCACATTACATGAAAGACAATCAATTGGATGGATATGAAGTGCTTTTTGATTACTTGGTAGTCAGTATCCATTGAGATCTCCAAGAACACTCAAAACAGTCATTCTTCCTGAGTCTTTAACAGTGTTTTAAACATAAGGTTAAAAATACAATGGCTTCCACCTCCTCCTCCTACTCACAGTGTGTTAGGGAAGATGAAAAATGCAAGAATGAATAAACCTATTAGTTATTTCAAAGCAATGAGATACAAATAGACCAGAATCCAGAACTTATGATCTTCTAGATTAATTTCAAAATGGATAAGAGTTAAAATGATATTATTCCTGATTAACAGACTAAATTTGAGAATATTAGATCAACTTTCTTAAATTTAAAGTCACAACCACTTACCATTTCAGCTAATAATTTATTTTGATGTTTAACCTCATGGCCTATTTCAATGGAAAGCTATTAAAAAAAAAAGACACATGCATTATTACTCACATAATGGCATTTAAGTGTTATAGAGTAAAATGCCATTCTAAGCATACACATTTTCTCAAAACTGTCTTCTAAAACTATAAACTACATAGTTTTTTCTGATAATTTTTCCACTGACATTAAAGGAAAATAAATTTAGAATTTCTACTGTTTCCCAACTATGGATATTGTCTCCCTGCTCTTCATTTTGATTTCATCTTAATATTCAATTCCATCTTTTAATTTTGGTACACACTTCTCTCTGGTTCTCTTATCCTTGCATGCTTTCTTCTTCCTCTCTTTATATTATTCATACAACAGCATTTATATGTATATTTTCTTCTTTACATTTTAAGAGATATATATAAGTACCTATATTATCAATTCAAATCTACATGGGACATTACTTTGAATATATGCCTAAACTAGTTATTTATTCAGATTCTTTTTTAAAAATGTTTGAGAGAAAGAGAGAATGAGCAGGGGAGGGACAGAGAGAGAGAGAGAGAAAGAGAATCCTAAGCAGGTTCTGTGCTGTCAGCATAAAGCCCAATGCAGGGCTCGGTCTCATGAACCATCACATCATAATTGAGCCAAAATCAAGAATAGGAGGCTTAACTAAGTCATGGGGTGCCCTAGATTCTAAAAGTTTTCCTTTAAAGTATGACAATAAACTGGAAAAAGATTGACAAGTTATTGTTAAGGCTCAGCCGAGCCTTAAAAAAATACAATTTAAGTGATTATGGCTGTTATTCAGACCAAAGCCTATTCAATACTTTATATGACAAATTCCTTAAAGGCTTCACTTCCAAGATATTTGGATAAATTACAAGCAACAAATGAAAATCTTGGCAAACCATTGCAAATATTGTTCTCAACTTCTCTTGTGTGGAAAGTATATGGGGTGATACACAAAATCACACTAGAATTCTATAGATTAGAACATGAGCTTTTCCCCCAAATTTAACAATCCAGAGATAATAAAGCAACTATAAAGCCAAATAGCCCAAATCACCTAACTACTTTCTACAACTGTCATTCATGACAAGGAAAGAAATTTCCCGGGGGGGGGGGGGGGGGCGCCAAAAGCTTTCTTCCAATAAGGAGCTAAATTATCAATGTCAGAGTTAAAAATAAATAATTCTCTATCAATGTTGATTTTCTAAACTGTTAACATTATACAGTATTACTTAGTTTGTAGATCAACTCTTTTTGATCTAATATGACTTTGAAAACAACACTCTTTTCAGAATGTTATTAGTATCCAGGCTGAACACAATTGTATTTTCCAAAGACTAATGAAATACCAATTAAGTTTTAGCAACATGAGTTTCTACTGAAGGCTCTATGAGTTTATAGCATGTTTACTGTAATACAGAATTACATACACTGTTAAAATCATATTTTTGTAATTCTTTTACTTAACACATGTTAAACTCAATACCACTGATAATGAATTATGCTTAGGTGCTGTGTTAAAAATAAAAACAGAAAACTCTACATTCTGGTAAATTTCTTTTACATACAAATAATCCCAATGCAGATTCCTATGCAATACATGCTGTAGAAATGGTGCAAACTGTCTTATGTTCACAAGGAAAAGAGTTACTTTTGATGTGGTAATTAGGTAAAGCTTTCAGGAAGGAAGGAGTGCAGAGAAGTGGAGCCTTTACTATTAAAGGCTTTGACCAATGTAAGGAGGGAAAGGACACCTCCCCAGTAAAGGGAGAGTATGATCAAAGATGTGGGAGTGCAAGTGACACCATGCACAGGACGAGAGATTCTCTAATTTGTCTGGCAGAAAACATATACACATTCCAGAAGTGTAGGAGATAAGGTCTGATAAGCTGTGGATAATCTCTAAAGGACCCATTTAACCAAGCTACAGAGTATGGATTTTATTCTTACATCATGGGAAGGCACTGAAGACTTCTGGGAGCAAAGGATGCAATTTTACAAACACTCCAAAAAGATGGCAGAACATGCAAAAAATGAGGAACAAATAGGTTACGAGGCTCTCTCCATACTTTGCCTACGAAAACCAGGGGATAGTATCAGGAATAGAAAAGTAGAAACAGAAAGAAGGAAGCACAAAACTCAGTGACTAACGTGATGTACAAAGATAGAAACACTGAGATATGTAGCTTAGTATACTAGAAGAACAAAAGTCAGGAGAAGAACTGCTTGGGGGTGGAAGATGTACCGCTCTGAGACATTACTACAGACAACATATAGTACTGTAGATTAACACACACACACACACACAGCTAAAAAAAATAAATGTACCATTATGTTTTGATTTGGCCACACTTTTAATCTTCTATTCAAATCATGTTTAAATTTTGAGTGTACTTTGACCTCACTGAACTATACACAACTTGGGTAACTGAATTCCTCCATATGATACCAACAAATAGTTTATAAGTACATATGTATACATAAATACACAAATTTGGAAAGTATATCATCTGTTATGTACTTACAGATTTTATAGCAGTTACTTTGCTTCTCAGACTTTCAGTGAGTCTCTCATTTTCTTCTTCACAGGCACTGTACCCACTGTTAGCATACCCATAGTTCCCATAGTTGCCTGGAGGTACTCCTTCACCTGCAAGGATCAGAGTCACAGTATAGTTGTAGCAAAAACAAGCCACCTTTGAAGCCTTGATAGAAAAGAACCAAAAAAGACCCCTGGAGGGCGGTGCAGACCACATATGTCTATAACATTCACACTTCAAAGGAATTTTAAAAATTAATAACCAAATGGAGATCAAAACAATTCTTTTCTAATGCCCTCTTTTAAGCAAAGAATATTCAATTTGTTTTATACTTATTTATTGATTGCTTATTAATTGCCCACAAGACACTAAAGTAGGCACTGATCTACAAGGATATTCAGGATACATTCCCTCTCCATAAAACTACAACTTTTAAAAAGGATCTAAAAGTAAGTCTCAACTATCCATTGAAGAAGCTTAGCTACGAAGGGAAAGGGAGCAAGAGGATAAATGTAGCAGGAAAGAGCTCATGGCAGAGGGAGGGTCCTTTATTTGCATTTCTTTCTTTTAAATAGAAGAGAGAACTTATGGAAAATAACTTATGGAGAACATTACCTGAGAATTAAGAGGGGAATTCATTCAACAAATATTTCAGAAACTTCCATGTGTCAGATCCATTGTTCTTTCTAGGTACTACTTTTTGGAGCTTATTGTCTGTGGAATTGCACTTCAGAATACACAGTCCCAGCTACTACCTAATAAAGTACTTGATATTCGCCAGGCAATCAAATGGGTGGAGTGAGCCTGAAGAGTGAATCTATATATAAATATGCTAAAGGATTGAGAGAGGAAAGCATAGTTGAGGGTCTTATTTAACCACGTTTTCAAAAGACAGTTGATACAATCAGTTTTCTCAGTAAAGGAAGAGATAAGGCTGTCTTTAAGGAACGGTATCATTTGGAAAAAGCAGTAAGGAGAATAATGAGGGAAAGTGACTAGGACTACACGGATCCTAGGGTGAGAAAATAATCCTGGCCGAGGCAACACACTGTGGTGGTTTCAATCCTCCTGAATGTGTGATTTTTCTGAAGAAGGACTCATCAGCCTGAGTTAGCCCGTGAGAACCTGCATCGTTGGATTGATCAAGAATTTCATCAAGAGATTTACAGCACTGGGGCTGACGAACAGAGCTCCAAAAGGCCGAGACTGCTTGACAAAAGAGAGGTTTAAGCTATGGAATATGGGGTCTATACTGGACAGGAATTGAAGTAGTTACAATGGAGAAATGAGGAAGGGATGATACAGAGACTAGGTCTCTATAAACTCAAAACGTAGATGGGGCAACAGGGACAGTAAAAGATGGAAGAGTAGGAAGCAGCAGTCAGTGCTGGTAGCTGAAGGATGGCTGAAGTGTAAAATGGAAGCTCTTTCAAGACACAGCAGGAACCTCACTTTCTCTAAAAGGTGAAACTCCCTCTGAATTCTTACAGCTCTTGCTGTACATAACAGTAATATCACACTCTAGATAGTTCTACAAGGGCAAAAACTACATTTGTTTCACTTATGGCTATATATCCCCCACAAATGTGTACACACACACACACACACACACACACACACACACACACAAAGGCACACTCAATAAATACTTGTAAATGAATTAAATAGAATCTGAATTCACTGTTATTCAACTTTGAGCCTTTCTCAAGAATGGAACCATAAACTTCTGAGGGCAGAGACAGTGTATCATACTTTTATATCCCCTGTACCTAATGAGTACTTTATATGCAGCAGACACACAATTTCCACCACCACAGAAACCACAACAAAATGTTAAACAAGTGTGTTCCAGGGTAGAAAGATTTGCATTTCCCAAATTTTCCCTCAACTGCTGACACACCATCCATAAAACTCTCCAAATATAGTATGAAAAGTTGTAGGAAAGCTAGTGAATGCCAAAGATCATCCTTAGCCTTTGACAATTTAGATATATGCTACTTCTTTTGGGTAGTTTCTATCAATAACTGAGCCAAATCATTTAGAGATTCATGTGAAGTGTTCCACATGAATATCTATCAGCTTCAATATTTATCCCAAGTTTAAAATTCCAGGCCAATACACACTGATACAAAACAAAACAACACACAGAATTTAAAAAAATTACAATCACAGCACACCAGTGTAAATGATAACAAGAGACACTTAAGTAAACGCCTGGTCTTTCCACTCAACTACAAGGGAGCTTCAAAAACAAAACAAAACAAAAGCTCTATCCATATCCATCCTAGAGATTCTAATGTAATTAGTCTGGGCTGCAGTCCAGGTATCAATGCCTTAAAAGCTCTCCAGGTGATTATAATGTACAGTCAGGGCTAAGAACCACAACTTCTCAAGTCTCTTTGTTTCCTGCAATTTAAATGATGGCACACTGCTGCAAAACAAAAAACAAACAAACAAACAAACAAAAAAACATTCAAAGGGCCCAAAGGACCTATTGCTGAGATCCAAACTCCTTGGCCGGCACTCAAAAGATCTCCTCAATGTGGTTCTGGTTCCATGTCTCCTACTTCAATCAAACTGGCTTAATGATAACCCTTAAACACACTATTCATAATTCTAGTCCTACAACTTTGGGGGGGGGGGTAGGAACAGGGGAGGGGGGAGTCTGGTTTCCAACTGGAACTTGCCTGTCTCACCCTCCATTATTCAAGCTCTAGTGCCAAGTTCTGATATCTCCACAAAGTATGCAGTGCTCTATCTCTGAAACCTCTGAGACACTAGCTGTAGAACTTATTCAGTATTTGGATGCATAGTTATCACTTATACCATAATTTATCTTTGTACATGTTCCTACTCACCATCTAGACTGGAAGCTCTGGGAGCACAAACAGGGCCACAATTAACTGTACACTTAGAGCTTACTCAAGTACACAATAAATGTCATTAATGATAAAAAGAAAAAAATTAAGCATATAAAACTGTTCAAAATTAGTTATTTTTCTCCTACAAGTTATTTGGCCAACTTTCTATGATTCAAGTATTCATAAAAGCTGTATTTTTCAAAAGCTCTTCCTCATACAATTTTTTAATCAATGTATACGTCTAAAGTTACTGTGGGGCGCCTGGGTGGCACAGTCGGTTAAGCCTCCGACTTCAGCCAGGTCACGATCTCGCGGTCCGGGAGTTCGAGCCCCACGTCAGGCTCTGGGCTGATGGCTCAGAGCCTGGAGCCTGTTTCCGATTCTGTGTCTCCCTCTCTCTCTGCCCCTCGCCCGTTCATGTTCTCTCTCTGTCCCAAAAATAAGTAAACGTTGAAAAAAAAATTAAAAAAAAAAGTTACTGGAAAATTTCACTAATTTTAAATACCTGGCACTTTTGAAAAACTTTTTTTTCCTCTAATTGTAACAACTGAAAAAAGCAACATTCCCTTTTTTCAAATATTCCATGTATTTTCTCAGGTATACTGTACCCCGATTTAGCAGGTTTTTTAAAAAAGTATCTCTTACAGATAGCTTCAAAAACCAGAAAATGCTGTTTTATTAGCTGTGCGTTATAATGGCCCCCTTAAAAGTCCTTGTGCTTGGTGAACCTGTTTCCTAAGTTTTCACAGTGGAGCAAGACTCAGATAAGAAATGTTCTGGATAAAATGGCCTTTGCCCCCAATGTTACACACTACAGTCTTTAACAGTAACGACATGTACGTTTACCTTTGTAACTCACTGTTACCAGTTTAATATGATTGTTAGTGTGCTTCGCGTGCAACATTCATTCTTCAAATTTCGCTTCTGAAAAAAACTAACACCCAGGACGAGTACAGTACGAGAAACCGAAGCCGGAATTCGGGAAACCCAGCGGTTTTCATAATCACTCTGACAGTCATTAACAATTAAAAAAAACAACCTTGACTATTGAGTTGGCACCTGGACATACCCCACCCCCATTCCTCCGCTACTCTATAAACCTACCATTCAAACTTAGGACTGAACCAAACTAAAGAAAAGCTTTTGGATCTGGGACAAATGGTGTGTTTCCACTCAGCACCGCCTCCAAAGACCCTTCCAATACATCCTGTTTTCTGGCCGATTCCAGTGACATAAGACCGGTCCGGTTTCCTTCCACATCCCCGCACCCAGTACGGCCAGTTATAGGGCCCCCGAACTTCGAACCTCAGTCCTCTTCTTACCCAGGCCTGCACGCCTCATCCTGCCACAGTAGGGAAAAAAAGCAGAAGGAGAGGTGGGTAGAAAGGAGCCACGGGCCCCCCAGACGGCGTCTTCAGAACCAGGGCCCGAAGAAACACCAAGTTTTTTCTCCAAAGCGCCACGACATCAGTGGACGCTAAACAGCGCGCCGGGTGATGGCGTCACCCAGGCACTTATCACTGCCCTGCGAGGCGGCTTGAATGGCATTCTGGGAAATGTAGTTCACCGTCGACACAGGTAGTGAAACAGGAGCCTGGCGTGAACCGGGCTCCTGGAGTGGGCGTGGCTTCCGGAAGAGGCGCGAGCGCTGGGGCGGCTCCGACTCAGGTTCTCAAGATCTGGGTTTTTGCTGCTGGCTTCGCGGCTTCCTGGACGTTACTCTCAGCTTGTTGCCTACCGAGTTGAACCCCGTTGATCTGCCCTTCTCAGACCTTGAGAGGATGGTTGACTCATCTTTCCTGATTCCTCCTCTTACTTCCTCTGACCTCTAGAGTCAGTTCAGGGAAAGTCCAGGAAAACTTTATTCAAGATAATGATCTCATACAGAAGTAATCTGAGACCCACAGAAGGAAAGGAAGAGGGTAACAAATTTGTGCTGGGTCACACAGTAGTTAGAAAAATCAGGTCACTTGGAACAGGACTCTTGCTTGGAATAAAGTGGTTAATAAAAGGAACCTGGTTTCCGGAGGCACTAATAAGTTAGTTACCTGTTACTGGATTGGTTGCATTTCTAGAAAGAACATTGGCTATTAGTTGTTGAGGACCAAAGGACCCCTAAACTCTCTCCCACTCAGATCTTTCTAACGTACACAAAGGATATTGAGATACATTGCACATTACCATGTGTGAAATAGTAAGGGCTTAAGAGCCTGTTGGCAAGGTTAGGGGGGTACTGGAATCCGGGTTAATGTTGCAGCCACACGACTCCTGAAACAGAATGCTATGGAAACCAGTGACAGTCACAAGAAGGTTTATTGCAATGAGAGGCAAGGCAAACTGATCGGTCCCGACAGATACTCTTGACCACAGTGTGGTCCCGAACAGCCGAACAGCCGGGGTACAGGGTTTTTATAGCCGACCACATCGTCTTATCACCTGGGAACAGAACAAAGGAATAGTGCCCAGGTGGAAACAGTTCAAACAGGCCCTTACCCCAATCCAAACACTAATCACACCCCTTGATAAGATAAGGCTGTTATCTCTTAACCTATAGTGTTAAAACAAAACTCTTATTTCTTAAGGCTACAGGTTAGCCCCACACTACAATTTAACCCTTACATTTTCCCCTTTTCTTGTCCTTGAATCAATCCCTTGATTCATCATTAGGAACTAAGGGGACATAGTTGGACCTAATCATAATTTTTATTTCACCAACTCGCTTCTTGACATACTGTACTAACCAATTGATAATGCATGGGCCGATAGTTAACCCGAGAAGTAACAACAGTAGTGGCCCAGCTATGGTGGTGAGCAGCGATGTGAGTCAGGGGGACAAAGAGTGATACCAATTGTTGCTGGCCTCCCTGGCACGTTCCCTGGCTCTAAGATTGTTCCTTACCAAACTCAGAGTGTCTCGAATTCATCCGGAATCGTTGGCATGACACAGTATGCACCAACCCTGCCCTTGGAGGTCCTCTAGGGTTAAAATTGGTCGCGAACCCCAAGGGCACAATGACATCATACATTCAGAGGCTCCAAGTGTGCCCAGTATCTCAGAATGAGGAAAAAATAGATGAGCTGGTGTTGGGTTACATTTTCCTTGGGCCTCACATTGGGGGTTCGGGGTTCTAAGGAGAGTAATTAGGGGGTCAATGTGCCGTCCTGTTAACCAGGGGGCTAGCATCCCACAACCCCATTTGGCACAGTGGTATTGACCCTCTCCTTCACATTCATTTTTTCTGTCTGCATCTTAGCCAAATTTCGCTCTAGTGCCTTATTTCCACATCCACAATTGTTCTCCCCAATGTTTCCGAGAGCTCTTGCCCAGGTTTGCAACCCCCGTTCTTCTCCTACCAGGTCACACAGGTCGAACAAGAAACAAGACATAGTACGAGAGGCGTTAGATGTTACCACCTTCCCTGTGACAGTGTCTGAGTTCCCATTGGTATGGCCAAAAAGACAAGGGGTGCAGTTCCGCACAGTCTCCCAAGCTTATTATACAAACCCAGACTATTATTCCTTTTAACCTTCCATCGCTGTTCGTTCTCTGGTCCTGTATCAGTCCTGGGTGTTCCCACCTCCGCGCAGTTTTTCTTAACCTGCGAGTGATGAATCCAGGTTCGGACACCGTCTATCTTCATGGCCATTGGTGTAGTCAGGATCACAGTGTGTGGTCCTTTCCAGCGTGGCTCCAGGGGTTTAGGCTCGTGCCTCTTGACCCAAACTAAGTCTCCTGGTTGAAAGGGGTGGGGAAGAACAGGAGGATGGGCAAAGGCTTCTTTCAAGGTATTAGTTATTTCTTTTTGTACAAGATGCAGGGCCATAAGTGAAGCCAACAAGTGGTCCTGTTCTAGCTGTTCCTTTATGTCATCCCCTAGCCTCGGCAAGATAGGTGGAGGTCTGCCAAATAAAATTTCATAAGGGGACAATCCCTTGATAAATGGAGTACAACGTGCTCGCAAAAGGGCAAAAGGCAGAACATCAACCCAATTTTCGCCAGTCTCAAGGGACAATTTGGTTAAGGTCTCCTTTAGAGTCCGATTCATCCTGTCTACTTGACCCGAGCTCTGGGGTCTATATGAACAATGTAATTTCCAATCTATTCCCAATGCTCTGGCTAGACCCTGCAATACCTGTGCCGTGAAGGCCGGACCATTGTCCTATCCTATGCTCAAAGGCAGCCCGACTCTAGGAATTAGTTCATTTAATAATTTTTTAACTGTCACCTGAGCCATTTCTGATTTAGTGGGGAACGCCTCAACCCACCTGGAGCAGGTGTCCAAAAAAAAAAAAAAAAAAAAAAATCAAGCAGATATTTGTATCTGTATTTCCCTGGTTTAATTTCAGTAAAATCTACTTCCCAAAACCGGCCTGGCTCAGTTCCTCTATCTCTTTTAGCTTCTGAAAACTTATTTGCACCGCGATTTACTTGGGCGCAACTTACACATCTTTCAACCGTCTCCTCAATCTCTTTTCCCAGCTCTTCCGCCCTGAACTTTTTCTGCACCAATTCTGCCATCTTTGTTTTTCCCAGATGAGTTCCTTGGTGGAGGAGATGCACCATGCATCGCCCAAGTGATGCGGGTAAGAGTATCTTACCTTCAGGATCCTGAAACCACTTTTGTCCTGGTATCATACTTCCTCCTTTTTTTGAAATCCACTCCACATCTTTAGGAGTGTAATTGGGCTCCGGTGGAAGCAGGGGGTCTATCAAGATCGGTAGTGCCAAAGCACTTTTACTTTCAGTTAGGGCAGCTTTCCCAGACTGCCCATGTCAGCCAGGCAGTTTCCGAATGCCTCTAGGGAGTTGCCTTTTTGATGTCCCGGGCAGTGAATGATCGCGAGACTTGCAGGTCAGATGGCTGTTAGAAGGTCTAGAATTTCGGCTTTATTTTTGATGTCCTTGCCCTCCGCTGTGAGGAGGCCGCGCTCTTGATAGATGGACCCGTGCACATGCACAGTTGCAAAGGCATAGCAGCTGTGTGTATAAATATTAACTGGCTTGTTTTTACCAAGTTTCAAGGGCTTTAGTTAGTGCGATGAGCTCTGCGCACGGGGCTGAGGTTCCTGGGGGAAGGGTCTGTTGCCATAGAACCTCGCGGTTTGTCGTAACTGCAGCACCGGCATGCCTTTGCCCTTGAAACACAAAACTACTGCCGTCTGAAAACATGTTGATATCAGGATCCTGTAGGGGAATGTCCGTGAGATCGGAGCAGAGGGACAAAACTGTCGCTAAGGTCTCTGGGCAAGAATGTAGAGGGGGGCCTAGTCCTTTGGGCAGCAAAGTAGCTGGGTTTAAGGCTGTGGGGGCACAAAAACGTATTGGGGCTGGTCGAGCAGCAATGCCTGATGCTGGGTAATCCGAGCATTTGATAGCCACCGTTCTGGGGGAGCCCGCAGTAAGGCCTCCTTCATGGGGCACCGTAACAGGCAACATCTGTCCCAGGGTTAGTTTATCTTGGTCTTTGACTAGTAGCACAGTGACAGCGATCTGTCGAACGCATGTGGGCCACCCGGAAGCAACTGGGTCTAGCCTTTTGGATAAATAGGCCACTGGTCAGCGCCAAGGTCGCAGGTGCTCAGTCAGAACTCCCTTGGCTACACCCCCTTTCTCAGCTACAAACAAATGGAATGGCTTAGTGGGATCTGGCAGGGCCAAGGCCGGTGGGGTCATGAGAGCCTCTCATAAAGCTTGGAAGGCTTTAGTTTGAGTCTCCCCCCAGGTGAAGGACTCCAGAGATCCCTTGAGAGTGGCATACAAAGGGGCTGCCAGTTCAGCAAAGCCAGGTATCCATAGTCTGCAGTAGCCTGCTGCCCCCAGGAACTCGCGAACTCGTTTGCGAGTTTTAGGCTGAGGAATATCGAGTATAGCACGAATTCTTTGTTCACGGAGATAGCGCTTACCTTTTTTAATGTTGTAACCTAAAAAAGTGACCGCAGTGTGACAGATCTGCACTTTTTTGGCTGATACTCGGTATCCCAGTTTTTGCAGAAGACTCAAGAGTTCCTTGGTGGCACTCGGGCATTCTGAACGAGAGGGGGCCACCAGCAAGATATCATCAACGTACTGCAACAGAGTTCCCTGAGGCTTGGAGATTCGAAATGGTTCTAAATCCTGGTTCAGGGCTTCATTAAAAAGAGTAAGAGAGTTTTTGAATCCATGGGGGAGTTGTGTCCAGGTGAGCTGTCCAGCTTTTCCCTCTTCAGGATCGGTCCATTCAAATGCAAACAGTGGCTGGCTCTGTGGGGCCAGCGGGATGGCAAAGAAGGCGTCTTTTAAGTCCAGAACTGTATAATACACCTGAGAAGGGGGAAGCAGACTAAGGTGAGTATACAGGTTGGGTACAGTGGGATGAATATCCATTACTCTGGTGTTTACTGCTCTCAGGTCTTGAACTGGCTGGAAATCGGAGGAGTTAGACTTTCGGACAAGAAGTGGAGTATCCCATGGTGACTTGCATGGGGTCAGAATGCCCGAGCCAAGCAAACGCTTGATGTGAACAGCA